GCATAGATAAGACCGGTAAAACAAACAAAGACATCGATTTTTATACCCAAATTCCACTGGCTTTAAGCCACACAGCCTCTCCTTTCTCTAAAGCCATACCACTCAAACACGCTTTGATCGTCATAGTGAAAGTCGAGCTATCTGGTTGGACCTTTTCAGCAATCATCTGATCATAAAGTCGTAAAACCTCATCTGGGTTGTTTCCACGAGAATAAACCACAATCATGGAGTTATAAACAGAAACACTTCTCTGAGGCAATTCGTCGAGCACCTTACGTGCATAAGAAATCTCCCCGATTAGTCCACATGAAGCAATGAGATCGCGACTAATGGAGCTTCCATTGAGTAAATTACCAGTAGTAATTACGAAAGCGTGGATCTGAGTGATGTGTCGCTTGAATTTACTAACGGATAGCAGAAATTTGATGCGATTCGGACACAGGAGAGTCCGATGTTGTAACATGCAGAAATGGTTTTGTCTGTAATCTCCCAAACCAGTTTTCGAACAAAACAAAGTCAACGATTCGAATTCACAAACTCTCGCTCTCGTTGACCAAGATGTGTTGTTTTTTTCAGATAAATTTCCAATGTGATTGATTAATTCTTAGAACTAACTTCTTCAAAAACCAATTTGATTGAACAAACCGGAACGCACTGGCCGGTTAAGGCATTTACACACACTAGAACCGAATTAACTAATTTGTTAAAAAATAGTCCCTCAATTTCATAAATAGCGGTTTTAATTTATTTTGTTTCATAAAATGTATTGTTTTATAATTTTAATATAGTTTTTAAAACTAAATCTCTTTTTATTATGATTATTTTAAATTATTAATTTGAAAAGAAATTTATTTAGTGTTTCAATAAAAGGTATATTGGTATAGTAGAAATTTACATGATTTTTTAATTTGTATGAAACATGTCGAAATGACATTCTTTATGAAATTGACAAGATATATTTTAAGACATTAGAAAAAAAAAAAAAAAAAAAAAAAAAACAAGTAATTTTTAAAACTTTTGGGTATAAGTGGCATTCAAATTTTTGTTTGGAAACTCTAAACAAACTTGAATTCAATCAAATGCATATTATTGATCTTCTGCAAACTATCATATAATATTTTGAGCATACACACTTTTATCCTCGTCTGTGATATGAACAACTTATATAACTTACCTCTCTCCATCTTAACTCGTAAGCAATTCTTGTTTTTTATGAAAGGGAGATTTAAAGATCCCCTGTACATATATGATCATTAATTAACGTTATGTTATTTCAATAACATTCTCTAGGAGGAGTTTGGTACTTAGACCGGTCAGTACAATAGTCATAGTTCATGTACTTGCTCCTCACATGCTCATAAAGTTTCTGTTCGTTTCCGCTTAATCTTTGATACTTGCCTGCATTCCACCAGTAGTTGGAGGATTCACAAGCGCCCACATTATTACTCCGACCATCTATGTTGCAACCGGATAAGGCGAAGTCTCGGAAATGGGCAATGAAAGGAGAGTATGACCAGTTAACCTTAGTCCGACCACCATCAGTCGCCCAATCGTCACCGTTCCAGAGACTAGCCTCGACTTGCATAGGCCTTGATGGATAGCTTACACCGTTTTCGTTTTTGTATACTCTTATTGGGATGTTGTCCACGTAAAACCTATCAATCATCATTTCATCTATTTGATTGTAGAGAATGTATGCACCAAATGACTAAATTTGAGACTCAATTAACAAAAATGACAATGGGGGAATTTTTAAGTTGAATATATACATATAGATTGCTAAATGACCAAAATATATTTCACCCATATCAGATTGTCAAATGTTTTGGAATTCTGTTTTGTTTCAAAATATCAAATTATGGTTGCAACAAACAAAATATTATCACTATTTGTCATGAAATGAATAGAGAAGATAAAAAATAAGAAGAAGGATTGTGATCAAACGTACACAATTTGGTAAGGGTTCCAAAGAAGCCCATAAGTGTGGTAGTGTTTGGTTGGATTGAACCAAAGCAAAAACCTCTCTTCTCTGTTTCCTTCTCCATTCAGAAACAGATTTGTCTGTAACGTTACCGGTTTTCCATTGTTGTTCCCTAGAAACTCGAAGTCAATCTCGTCGTGACCACCTCCTTTCGACGTCAACTGTAATTATTCACATATATAGACAACTTATCAATATGAGTTTTGAATTAGTCTACGTATATATGTATATAGTCAAGAATACAAACGTAAAACGCGGTGACGATGCCGCCAGTATTTCCTCCAGGCACTTTGATTCTCATTTCAAAGAGACCTGATCCGTAGCTGTCCTTGGATTCGAAGCCACCACCTGTTTCATGTAGAAGCCAAACCCTATTCAGAAATCCTAATGGATTATACAAATTTTTTCTTTGTGTCTTTATATAAGAAAAATAAAGAGATACGAACCTGAAGATTGATCGATGTAGAGATCAACTTCTTCGCCAGAGTGGAGTGTAGAAACATGACTTTGTCCCCACTTAACAACATAATTCTGACCGAAAGTAACAAATTTTTCGATTCCTCGTCCTCCCAAAACCCTAGCATCAACCCTTATGATCCATAACGTTACTACAAAAACACTAAAGATTCTCATATAGTCCATCTTTGATTTAATTTTTGTTGTAAGGTACTATAGTGTTGCACTGGTTTAATAGTTTAAAAAAGTAGAAAGCATGAAAGATATGGAGGAGACAAAGAGATTAGAGTCACATCAAATTCTCTATACATCTCCTACACGCCTTTCTTATTATCCCCATGCCCATTGGCCATCACCATTTTAATTTCATCAAATATTCTCTCTTTTCTTTCTTAAGATGTAGTGATCCATTAATTACTTTCTTCTACAATAGCTTATATGATAACTATGTTGATTTGATCCACTTCGGGTAAGAAGTTAAGAACATATCAACGAAAAATCGATGTAATTGACAAACGTTAAGATTAATTGTACGACAAGATTGACAAGATTTGTGTTCTACTAAGTATGTAGTAACACAAATTAAGCTTCATAATTTTTTGCTCCTTTAAGATTTCTCTAAATTGCTACCTAGCCTAAATCACAAGAGTGGTAGATAAGATTTTAGAAGCCTAAGCTCCACAATATCTTTTTTTTTTTTTTTTTTTGTGCAAAGAGCTCCACAATATCTATACAACATTACTTCATTACATAAGTCTTTTTTTCTTGGGTAATATGAAAGAATGGCCCTGGAAGACTCAAAAATTAAGTGGAAGAGTGAGACACTATTTGGACAACACTTTTGTAAATGATATTACGTTGCTATCCTTATTTATTTATTTTATTTTTCATATTCTCTCTCTCCTTATCCTTCTTCTCCGATCAAATTTTGTTTCAGGAAACTAAAAGTTTCTCACGAAATTCATCAAATTGTGAGATTTCAAATTTCAATAAAATTGTTTCATTTATTTGTGACAGTAAATGCAACCATGGTTTTGAGAGGGTTATGATTTTGATCGTGAATCGTGGTGGTGTGGTGGTTCTTATTTCGATTCAGTGCCGGCTGTAGCGGTGGTGATTGTAAGTGGTGGTTATTCCTATTTAAAATAATTGGGTTTTTAACGATGGTGTAGATAGTATTTACGATGATAGTGGTGATGATTATATTATCGGTGGTGGTGAGTTTGAGAAAAAAGAAGGTGACATGAATGGAATCGTAGATTGAGATGGCGTCAGAATGGTGCGGTAAGCTAAAAGATTTTATGGTGATGGTGTCGGAGAAGGTGCGAGGGCTAAAGAGTTTTATAAGTGTCGCCGTCTTCTCCGTCTATCTCGTTGGTGAGCAGATCTAGAACAAAATTTGTTATTTTTCATTGCTAGATATTTTTATTATTATCATGTTAACCTTGTTATTGATTATTATTGGTGAATATTATGTATAAGTTACACGTTAATATAAATATTATGCATATATCGACTATCTTACCGTGTTCATACAAATATTATTCAGATATTTAATATGTTAGCATGTTATTATTTCATATAACATGTTGTTGTAATTGTTATCATGTTAATTACCTAAGAAAAAGTCTAATTCTTTTTTATTGTACTGATATATACATAAATAAAAAATATTGATTTATAATTTTAAATCGATAAACATTTATTTAACACATAATATGTAAGCTTATCGCGATATCATATTTTTTAGCATGTTAAACAAATAGTTATATACTTAAATCACAATATGTTTTATTATATCATCTGATGAATAGTGTTCTCGATCACAAATGAACAGTGTCGTCGAGCGGTTTATGAACAGTACCACCGACATATTACGGTGGAAAAAAGTTTACCATGGCAATGGCATTTGTGTAATTAAGCTAAATGAGAAGGATATTTATGGTTTACTTTTATTTTCTCTTTCCTACTTTCTTAATTTCCAAATTTCTAATGCTATAAAACTAATAAACTACTCTTCCATGTATATATATTTCATTCACCCTTTTCTCTTTGTAAAAGTGGAGCTCCACATTTCCTCCATATTATTATTTTAAGTCACATTTCCCCCAATTTTAAAATAATTCACATCTCGTTGTGAATTGTGATGAATATATTACTGTCATGTCGAAATATTTAGTAACACTAACTCACCAAAAAAAGAAGAGAGACGAGAAAGTCTAAAGAAAGTGTAATAAGTTAGATTGCTGGAGTTTACACATCTATGCTCGTTCTCCTCTACTAACCACCATCAGAGTAAAATTGGTAACATCCGGGTGGATATTGTGTCGAGCACCAAATTGAATCCGTAGGGTTTCCGAGCATTGAAAATTTAGAAATTAAGCTGGTAACTGGAGCTTTTTGTTGTTCTTCCAGCTGCAAACATAACGGGGAAAAACAATTACAGTCGGAGGCAGAATTCATTGCGTTAGGAATAAAGAGGAGAAGATGAGGGAATTGTTACCTTAGGAAATAATAATAAAAGAAGTCGGCATAGAGCAGTGTTTGAACAAACCCGGCGATCCATGCTGCATCATCGTAATCAAACATTTTTGAAATGTCAGATGACGAATAATAATAATCAAGACAACACATATTGACAAGTGAATCATAAGAGGCAATGATGCAATATGCATTTTTCGGCTTGAGAACCAAAACATGTTTTCACACAAGATTCATGTAGCAAAGAGGCTCCATATGTATCTATTGAATCCAAATGCTAAATTTAATCAGACCCTATGATTGACATCACATTTTCAGTCATAAGTTGCAAAAGTTGACAAAAAGTCATCCAATTAGGAGGAAAATAAACAGATGCTCATGGGCTAACGTGTGCTGCGTTTAAATGGCGAGGAAGGTTAAGATAGAAAGGAACATACTTATCCAGTGAACAAAGTGCGGCTCAGTGAAGTAACGGTAGATCCAGTTGAGGATGTATAATCCACGGTACCCCCTGCAAGAAGAGGGCATTATTGGTATAGCAATCGAAGTATGAAACTCATAGGGAAACTAAATCATAAAGTTTGGCAGGAGAACAGTCAATGATGTAAATAGGGCAAGAAGTTATTCAAGAAAGACAACAGCTAGCATTGATCTATAGCACATGAATAGAACAAAACATAAAGTGCACAAAATCCAAAATCGTGGAGTACCCAGACATGGACAGGAATGAAATATGGATCCAGTCAAGAGAAGTTCAAGCGAACGAAGAAGCAACAATACTTTTCAAAAAAAGGGAAGTTAAGGAAACAAGATCGTACCCAAGGAGAAATATGTATTGCCCGGTCAAGTTGTCAATATTTCTAGTCCTTTGCAACAAGACAAGCTGAGGTAATATGGCAACAGCCTCCAAGTACAATGAAAACGTCCACAGTACCTAATATCATAAAGCAGATACCAAATGCACAAAAATAAATCAGCCAATCAACCATAAGAGATCAGTCTCCCTGGAAAACAAATTACAATATTTTTGAGAAGACAAACCTCGAGAAAGGTAAACTTTTCATGTATCAAAAGAGCTAAGAGTAAGCAAGGAAGCACAAGGAACCAATGACGAAACGTATCTTGCTCCCTGTCGTAAGTCCTGTGGACAGCCTTATGATACCTCATATACCAAACAATCGAAAAAGAACTTCCTAAGAACACCAACTTCATAGAGGTGTTATAGAGAGACACGAAACTCGTGAAAATATCCAAATATCGCGTCGCAAAGACAATGGCATAGAGTTCTTGAGTCTTCAATGAAACACCTGCAAATATACCAACCACAAATCCATATTCTCATAAACGCGTGCTCTCAAACATAGAATCGGGCAAGCTGATTTGAAAAACTACATTTAAAACCTCAATTCCGTTAGATCCATTCATACAAATTTCACCAAATGGATTATTCTTCGATCAATCTCTCCTAAAATCGTAACTCACCGATACTCGAATTAGATCCAACATTTCTACAATTCGAACTAACAATTGGAAATCCCCAAATTGACAGAATCATAATCGAGTGTGGATCATAGGTCAACGTCAATCGAACAAACATCGAGAAATAGCCTAATCTGATCGCATTTCAGCCAAATTCAGAGACGAATTGAGGAAATGTAGATACCAGCGCAGGATTTGATGGTGTGGATCTTGAGAAGCAAGACCAGAACACTGGCTAGGTGAGTCATATCACCAGCTAATCTGAAAATGTTCATCTTCGATCGTCTTCTTCACGTCTCGTCTTCTAAAATTGGAGAAACAAAGATCTCTCTAGGGTTTTATGAAGCTCCTTGCTTCTTTCGTCGTTGCCTTCTCCTACACCACTGTTCGTGCTAGATCTCGTTAATGGCGTTTCCACCAATTTTCTCTGTTTTTTTTTTTCCTTTTTTTTCAAAAGGTAAGAAAATAAATGATAGTAATTGACTAATGAAAGCCCATGACTTCTCGTTGTTGGGCCTAGTTTTGGGTCATCTAACCGGAGACTAAACCAAATGCTTACCGGTTCGATTTGAAATCGGTGGTTATCTAAATAAACCTAAGCAAAGTACAAATTGAAAAGATAGGTAGAGTTAGTTAACCAGTGAAGCTTTCTATCAGTTAGGTTAGGTGCTTTGCCGTAACCATAAGTGTAGTTGGAGGATTGTTCACGTCTAGCCCGGCCACTTATTGTTCTTGTTCAAATCAAACACATCAGTGACATCCAAATTAAATTAAGAATTTATGGTACAACCATCAACTTTTTGTTTTACTATGCCAACTTTATTCATTTTAATTTGATTTGACATATTTTACATGTAAGATATATGGGTTTGGTCAAGTTTTCCACTAAATCATATAACAAGTACTAACCACTTAGGTTTTGAATGGATTAAATCATTAGTGGAGTAGACCGCTCTATTTAGGGCAGACTAAAGGTTTGAATGGATATTGCGAAGAAACGGATTAAACCATTAACGGACTAGACCATTCTATTTTTGGGACAGATAACAGTCCGCCGAAGATCAAGTTTTTTCTATTATAAAAAGCGATTCATAGTTGGTTCGAAAACGAATTTTTTTCTATTTTTCCCGGTCAGCATCACTATGGACTATAATTTATGAATGATAAATACAAAACGGTCTAATCCACAAACAGATTTGTCCGCCGCAACCATTCGAACATTGTGTGTTGATGATTAATGATAATAGTTTGATTGATCTAATTTAATCTGTTTTCTCCAAATAACAGAAACAAACTATAGGTTCCATGGAAATGAGAAAGAAAGTAATTTCTACAAAAGGATTTCTCATCAATATTCAACCAGACATTACAACAACAAAGGAAACAACCTGATTATGATAAACTAAGATAATTAAACTGAAAAGTCTAAAAAAGATCAAGAACTTCTAAAATTGTGGTATTACAGAGAGGACAGTTTCCTCTTTGAACCCAAAGCTCTCTAGAACACAACCTACAAAACGTATGACCACACGGAATAAACGCAGCTCCTTTGCTTCTAACCATACACACACAACAACTTATCTCCGCCGCCGTCACCGTCACCGCCACCTCCTCCTCCGCCTCTCCATCAACATTTACCAAACTCATTTGCCCTTCATTCTCTTCCAACAACTCCATCAATGACATCCTCGCCGGCTCCACTCCCCTCTCCGCCGGCGTTTCCTCTTCTCTAGCCGATAACGCTCTCTCCTCTGCCAACACAGCTCCTAACCGAATCCTTCCCTCCGTCGAAGAAGCTTCCTCCGTTATGTTTGAGTTGGAAAGGAGGAAACCAAGTTGGTGGCTAACGTTATCCCGGTTAGGAATAGGCGTATCCAAAGTCGGGATAGAATTAGACGAGATCCAAACAGTAGCGTTACGTTTAAGACGGAGCTTTTCACGGAGACTTTTCCAAGCGGTTTTGTCTCGACTGTGTCGGTGCTCTCTTTGCATTACTTCAAGAAGTGACCGGTTAGATTGGTTCCTAGACGGTGGCGGTGAGAGAATCTGCGGCGAGGTTCTGTTTTTATCAGCCATTAGAATAGCTTCAAGAGTTAAACAGCTCCGGCTAGTCTCCACTGTTGACATACGATCTAATAAAGTCACTCTTAGCCTATCACCACCGTCCATTTGAATCATCTTTCACCGATTCAAAGCACAAATAATTAGAATGTGAACTGCAAAAAATGAAAAATTGTCGATTAAACTTATTAATATAGAGAGGCTAAAGAATAAGTTTCAGCTCCTTGACAATAAAAAAAAAAAACTAAAATTTCCGTTACCACAAAAAATCATTAGAAAAAAAAAACGAACTTTTTTTTGTGGTCAAGACTCATTTACTATTTCAGCTTCAAAGAAAACCATAAAATTCTAAAGAGTTTTTTCGCAGTGAATCAGATAAAACACCTTTTAGTCTTCACGTTTGCAGGAGAATCCGAAATCCAAGAGCAGATCTGTAATGAATAGAATATACTTTATTCATTAAAAAACAGAGAGAGAGAAAGAGAACTTCTGATTCTTCTTTAAAAAAAAGTTCAATGTCAGACAACAATCATAATATTTCTCAGAGAAATACAGAAGAATGAATATATAAAATCTACAAAATAGATTACTTTACATATTTTGATAATTCAAGCTCTTGAACACTTTCTTTTCGCTTTCTCTTTTATGTGAAAGAAAGAGACTATATAAAAAGAGTGTGTACGAGCAGAAGAGGACCACGATTGGTGGTAACGGGTAAGCGTTATTTAGAGCAATTAGTTGGTAAATTTACTTATTTACCATCAATTCTATTGACTTTTGTTTTGTGTGGGGCTAAAGGGTACATATGAGATTAATTCATACAGCTAAGTCATTTGTTTGTCTGCAAGTTTCTTTAAGGAAACGGCAAATTCTTAAGCACATGACTAGTGCAATTTTATTCTTGTCGTTTTTCACTAACTAGTAGTTTTGGACTCCACATCACATGATTTTTGTAGCTATTTTACCAACACAATAACTTCAAGAGTGGTTTGTGAAGGATCATGTTAAATTTAAAATGTGTAAACAGTTTTGTTACACAAGTTAGACCCGACAAGGAAGAAAACCATTATGGTCAGGTCGGATTGGGCTAGACTGGTCGGTTTCGACAATGCATTTTAATACTTTTTTTTTTTTTTTTTTTTTTTTTTTTCTGCATTTTAATACTTTCTTAACATTGAATAGAGAAAATAGTTACCAAACAATAACTACCACCAACGAGTTGGGTTAGGTTTAATGATCTTTTAGGACTAACTAATCCACTAAGGCACTAAGGAAATAAATACTAGGTTTTATGTTTTCCCAATTAGAGTTTTTAGCACCCACTTCACAAAAGAAAAATAAGTTAATGTAAGAAATAATAACGAGGATGTGCATGCATCATTTGTTGAAAGCTTGAAAAGAAAACATTGAAGGGCCCAACACATGTAAGACCATCATGGGTCAAGATTCATAGCCATAACCTCATATTTGTACCATGATTTTAGTTTTTATTGCCACAATTATGAGCATTGTGACTCCTTTATGCCAACGGGGATTTAAGATTTAAGGTCAGAAAAAGACTCCACTCCAATATGCTATTATTATGTGTAAGGGCCATCGCTTTTGCTTGGCTCGGATAGGTTTTCTAAATAGATACATGTAGGGATATATGATTCGTATTTCGTTCAAACTAGATGAGCAAATTTATCCCAAACCCTAACTATAATTTGTTTTTTTTTAATTCCTTTTTAATACTAAGATATATATTTGATATAAAATCTTTAGTTATTATCAATTACGATGGAATGCGTATAATTATAATCCACTAGGACTCCGGACCCCCACGATATCGCGGAGGAAAATATTTCAAAAATCGTTTAAGAAAAATATCAGACAAAAATTAATAATAACGACGGTAGATGATTAAATATTATATCGATTTATAAAATAAACTTAAAGTTGCAATTTTTCGTGAAATAAATTAAATGTTGCAATGGTTCAACTAAACGGTTGCAATCGTTTTACGAAAAGTTATGATAAAAAGATGCAACCGTAAAAAACATTTATTCAGATTGCAACTTTCTCAAAAAAATATAACGTAATTTTTTTTTTTTAGTTTTTAAAAAAATAAACAAAATGTTGCGATACACCAAAAATTGCAACGGTTCGTCAAGTTCGTCAAATAAACTAAAGATTTCAACGGTTCGTAAAACAAAACCAAAAGTTGCAATGATTGGTCATATAAACCAAATGTTTCAACAGTTCAATTAAACAATTACAATCTCATTTAAATACATTTTGGTAACTAAACATTAAAAATATTAATTTATGAAAAGTTATACCGAAAGACGCGGCACGACGGTAGATAATTAGATGTTATAACGATTTATAAAATAAACCAAATGTTGCAATTGTTCGTGAAATAAACTAAATATATAAATCAAAGGTTGCAATCGTTTGTGAAATAAACTACATATATAAATCAAAGATTGCAATTGTTTGTGATATAAACTAAATATATAAATTACAGATTGCAATTATTCGTGAAATAAACTAAATATTACAATAATTCGAATAAGAGGTTGCAACTGTTTATGAAGAGTTACAATAAAAATAAACAAGCACAGAAGACATTCGGATTGCAATTTTCTAAAAAACATAACCGTAAAATATATATTTTAGTTTTAATTTTTTTTAACGAAAAGTTGCGATTAAATGACACAACCGTTCAGATATGCAAAATGCATTTATTAAGATTGCAAATATATATAGATATAGTTAAATTGTATTAAGAATGGAGTGCAAGAGGTGTAAATTCAGCCTTTAAAAAAATTACCAAATAAAATATAAAAAATGTGCAGACTACCACTTAGAATTCAAATCTTATCAATAAAATTTAACCTATATTTCTTATATCCACATATTTATATGGGTCATAATATAGTTAAAATAAAATAGAGGTGGATGATTTATTTTTGGTCCCTGTGCGTTCAAATTGATATGATCCAAAAAAATATGACCTGTTTATTTAATATTTTAAATTTTACCTCAGCTTTCCTTAAAAAAAAAATTGATATGATAGCAACATATATAAGTTAGTCATCATATTTCATCATGTATAAAAACCTTTTCCAATCAAAAATTTTCATGTGTCAAAAAATATATACCAATTTAAAAAAAGAAAAAATAAAGTCAAATATGAAAAGAATATAAATGTAAATCAAATAGAAAATAGATATATGAATATCACAAAAATAAACAGGTCAAATACCGTAAAATTTTGTGATATATGTCAAAAAAATAATATGTCGATTCAGAAAAAAGAAAAAAATAAAAAGTCAAATACCGTAAAATTACAAGTCAAGCCGAATACAAAAATAAAAATATGAGTAGCAAATAATATGAAGTAAACTTAATTCAAATATGAATAGGAAAAACTAAATATTTGGAAACATGTGAAAACAATAAGTTAAAAATTAATAATATAATTGAAGAATAAAAAAATAAAAATAATTGTTAAGCTTTTCTCTCGGTGCTTTCGCGTCATCGTTTTTTATATTTGTTTTGCCAAGTTTATTCATGTGATTTTGAACATATATGTGAGCAATTTCAAAGTGATGTGATTCCAATCCAAATTATACATAAGAAAAGTCATCTAACGTGGATTTCACTGCATAATTTGAGTGGCTATCAGCCACACTTTTCTAGAAGCCTGAATGCAAAGACTTCATTTAGCTCTGACTTCTTCCAAGTCAATTTGTGCTTCACTATGGAAAACCACATCTATCTTTATCAATACCAATCTCCTCTCTCACATTTCCTAAATCAAAATCCATTCTTTCAAAAAAGGTTTCATGATGAACATGTCTGAATCGCTTTGGCGTTTGAATTTTCTCTCGCTACTCTTACTCTGTTGTGTCTCCCCTTCAAGCTCCTTCACTTTTAATAACCCTGTAGTTGGTCAAGGTGCTTGTGGTCTCCATCAGATTCAAGCCTTTACACAGTTCAAGAACGAGTTTGATACTCGTGCTTGCAACCATAGTGACTCCTTGAATGGGGTGTGGTGCGATAACTCCACGGGCGCGATCACGAAGCTACGACTCAGGGCCTGTCTCAGTGGAACTCTGAAATCTAACAGTAGCCTCTTCCAGTTTCATCAGCTCCGTTACCTTTATCTCTCTTACAACAACTTCACCCCCTCTTCAATCCCTTCCAAGTTTGGAATGCTCAACAAATTAGAGGTTTTATTCATTTCCAGTGGTGGCTTCCTAGGCCAAGTTCCTTCCTCATTTAGTAACTTAAGCATGCTTTCTGCTTTGCTCCTTCACGATAACGAGCTCACTGGTAGTTTATCATTTGTGCGGAATCTACGCAAACTCACAGTTTTAGATGTTTCTCATAATCACTTCTCTGGAACTCTAGATCCCAACAGTAGCCTCTTTGAGTTGCACCACCTCACTTACCTTGATCTCGGTTTCAACAACTTCACCTCCTCTTCACTCCCTTATGAATTTGGCAATCTCAACAAACTAGAGGCCTTGTTTCTTAGCTCTAATAGCTTCTATGGTCAAGTTCCTCCCACAATTAGTAACCTAACCCAGTTAACCGAGTTGAAGCTTCTCTCGAACGACTTCACTGGTAGTCTCCCACTTGTACAAAATCTAACCAAGCTCTCCATTCTAGAACTTTCTGATAATCACTTCTCTGGAACCATCCCTTCTTCTTTCTTCACTATGCCTTTCTTATCCGATCTTGATTTAGCTGGAAACAATCTCAACGGTTCATTTGAAGCTCCTAACTCCTCCTCCTCATCAAGGCTAGAGCATTTGTACCTAGGTAAAAACCAATTTGAAGGAAACATCTTAGAGCCTATCTCAAAGTTCATCAACCTCAAAGAGCTTGACATTTCTTACCTAAACACAAGCTACCCAATTGACTTAAGTCTCTTCTCCTCTCTCAAATCTTTGTTGCTCCTCGATCTTTCCGGTGATTGGATATCTCAGGCTAGTTTAAGTTCGGATTCATACATCCCATCGACCCTGGAAGCGTTGGTTTTGAGAGACTGCAACATCAGTGATTTCCCAAACATCTTAAAGACCCTTCAGAATTTGGAGTTTATTGAGGTATCCAACAATACAATCAGTGGGAAAATCCAAAGTGGTTATGGAGCCTTCCCCGTCTAAGCTCAGTGTTCATTGGAGAGAATGTGTTAACTGGCTTCGAAGGTTCATCAGAAGTATTAGTAAATTCATCGGTGCAGATCTTAAATTTGGATTCAAATAGTTTAGGAGGAGCACTTCCGCATCTACCGCTTTCTATCAGCTACTTCTCTGCAAAAAACAATGGATTCAGAGGCGACATACCTCTTTCAATCTGCAACAGAAGCTCGCTTGATCTCCTTAATCTAAGCTACAACAACTTCACCGGTCCAATTCCCCCATGTCTGAGTAACTTCTTGATTTTGAATCTCCGGAAGAACAGCTTGGTAGGAAGTATTCCAGACAATTACTATGCCACAACACCCCTACGGTCACTCGACGTTGGCTACAATCGATTAACGGGAAAGCTTCCAAGGTCTCTTCTAAATTGCTCAGCTCTACAGTTACTAAGTGTGGACCACAACGGAATCAAAGATACATTTCCTTTCTCCCTTAAGGCTTTACCGAAATTGCAAGTCCTTATCCTCCGTTCAAACAAATTTTATGGTCCTATATCTCCTCCTAATCAAGGTCCTCTGGGATTTCCTGAGCTTCGGATACTTGAGATAGCTGGTAATAAACTAACTGGAAGCTTGCCCCCAGATTTGTTTGTGAATTGGAAAGCATCATCACGCACGATGAATGAAGATCTGGGTCTATATATGGTATATGACAAGGTTGTTTACGGGATCTATTACCTCACCTATCTGGAAGCTATAGATTTACAATATAAAGGTCTATCTATGGAGCAAAAGAGGGTCGTTACTTCCTCAGCCACCATTGATTTTTCTGGAAATAGACTTGAAGGAGAAATTCCTGAATCTATCGGTCTCTTAAAGGCACTGATCGCACTCAACTTATCGAACAACGCCTTCACAGGCTATATTCCTCTATCTTTGGCCAATCTTGTGAAGCTCGAGTCACTAGACCTATCAAGTAACCAACTATCGGGGACTATTCCTAATGGCCTGAGGACTCTCTCGTTTTTGGCGTACATGAACGTGTCTCACAACCAACTCACTGGTGAAATACCACAAGGAACACAAATAACTGGGCAACCTAAATCGTCCTTTGAAGAAAATGCAGGGCTTTGTGGTTTTCCTCTTCAAGATTGCTTTGGGACTAACGCGCCACCAGCGCAGCAGCCAAAAGAAGAAGAAGAAGAAGATGAGCAAGTGTTAAACTGGAAATCAGTGGCAATAGGGTATGGGCTTGGAGTGTTACTTGGATTGGCAATAGCACAACTCATTGCTTCATACAAACCGGAGTGGCTAGTTTGTCTGTTTAAGAGCAGAATCCGTTAAGATCTTCTTTGGTTTTGAGTTTCAACCTTCGATGTTTGGTAAGTTGTTGTTGGTATTGTATTGAAGCATTTCCTTACGTTTGTTGTATCTTTATCTGATGTTTTTGTTCTATAAAGTAAGAATGGTGAATTCTACGTAGCATATTCATATACATCTTTGATTTTTTCCTAAGACAACTCATCTAACACTGAAACGACTGAAACAGAATATAACTCATTGCTTATAAGTCTCAACAAGACTTGTTGATCTGCAGTCTCTTAGTTCTACTATGACACATACCAAAACTATAATCCCCTACGTTCCACAACTGTAAACTCGCAACCTATACACCATGCTAATCACCAATAACTATTACACTAACCAAGTCACATTTTTCTTTTCTTTTCAATCTTTCTTTGTTGGTTTTAGCAGTGTTAAGACATACCTTACTCCTAGTGAGAGGTCTAAAAAGTCTTGATCTGTCTCCAACAACTTGGCACACACAACTTCCACCAAGTCATTTTCAGGGTATGGAAGTCTTCTTTACCCATTAAACCTGTCATCATCATCAACATCGTTCAGTTTCCATGGTTAATACTAAAAAGTCTTTACCTTGTTCCAATTTTTATTCTTTGCACATACCTTTTGATGCGTTTACATTTGTCTGAAACTGACAAAGAAAGTGGAGAGCAAAGGAAGGGGCAATTACAGTCATGTCTTTCTTCTTTCTTTATGAAATTTCTTCATTAGTCTATTTTATCTCCTTTTCTACTTTGCCTGACTTTTCCAAGTAAACTTATTGCATTGACACTTGTTTTAGGTCGTCATACAGACAAAAAAATATCTTTAAAATAGTTTAATACCCCGATTGTCTACCGTCTATTCGAAGACCTAAACCTCCTAAACCACCTAATTCCAAAGAGATTTCTCTTCGGAAATAAAGTTTCAGATAAACAATATATAAAAAGAAACCTTAGCTTTCTTTTCCTTCTTTCAACTCATACAAAACCAAGACTTGGAACAAAAACCATTCACCTATATCTCATCTATCTATCTTTTACCTCTTCGTCCCCATTCTCTTGTTCATCTCCCAAGCCAAAAAAAAAAAAAAAAACACAGAGGAGAGTACCATGATTAATTTTTCTCTCTGTCTCTGACAATCATATGGATGCTCTTTGTGATCCCCTCTTGTTTTTTGTCAGTTGATAAGTGTCACAAACACTGCACCTCTTGGTTTAAATGCTGTATGAGGAGATATCTCTATTATCCCTTTTGGTCACCTGAAAAGAGAAGAGTGCGGTCACCCGGATTTTAAAGTCAACTGCAGCGGCGATTTCCCATAGCTAAGTATATCCTTTGCCAAGTTCCATATCCTTGAGCTGAACTATTTTGCAATGATTTTATAAGACTCGCCAGAATGGATTATTACAACAATCTTTGTCCCATATAACCTGAGAATGCAACAATCAACCAACAAATCCTTCCATTTCTTCAAGACACCGAGCTGCGTACTTTTTATTATAACTACTCTGGTCCAAGGTAGACATACTTACCATTGGTTACATTAGACAGCCTGAGTGTAAGGCAAAGTTACTTTGTCTACGATCATATTTCAGTACTAATTCACCATATTTCTTTATCCCTAACAAAATCAAATGAAAATATATAAAAAAAGAGACCACGAAAACAGAACAAAAAAAGAAGGACATATACCGGCAGAGTTCCCCTAAACGTATTCTCCTGCTTTCAAGTTTTAAGCACAGTTGAAGCCACGACAAACCGAGAGGAGGATGATGAGAATTAATGCGATGATGATACCAAGGACTATGAGCTTAATCTTCATGTTCTGAAACCACATCTTTCTTGTCATTTTCGTTCCTGGCACTCTGAAATCTTGTGCCTGTAGATATCAGAATTACTAGAAGCTCAATTTTCTCACCGCTGTCAAGAGCCTGCAAGTTAATGAATTACATAAAGCACATGCAGTTTCGCAGAAGTGTGAACAAAGGTTCTCGGATTTTGTCCACTAGAAGCTCAATTTTCTCACCACGGTCAAGAGCCTGCAAGTTAATGAATTACATAAAGCACATGCAGTTTCGCAGAAGTGGGTAAGAAGCAGAGAGAATTCAAGTCATTTATGACATATATTCTCAAATTAATGATATAAAATTGTGAGATTGACATGGATATGATTCAGACCTTCTCAATGTTCTCCGTCATAACACATTTCACTTCGTTCACTTGATACTAAATCAGTTAAAAACCATATTCACAGACACTTAAATCAGTTAATTTTTTGGTTTTCCGTATTCTGATGGTAGAGCCAAAAGTACCCAAATTCTTTGTTCAAGCTGTTGAGTTAAGTAGTGGTCATCTTTCCTTTCCACCACTATATCTCTTGTTGAAATCTTCTTTAACTCGCTCCAAGAAGGCCATTGAAATCTGCTGAAACAACGCAACAGGCTGCACAAAAAAGAGAGAATCTATTGTCAGACTCAGATCCATGAACAAATATGAGAGAATTATAAGAAAAGACACTAAATGTCTTTACAAATACGAAAACAAAACTGTAGAGTTATTCCTCATATATCACCTAACTTCAAATACAAGAGGCAAAGCAAGCTAAAGGCATAACCACATGCAAAACAATTCATGCTAAAAGTACATGTATTGTTTTTTTGTTTTAAATTTTAGTTTGGTTGTATTAAAGGAAATTTTCACTTCCATTTAACCAAAGTCTCAATTGCAATGCCTTCTCAGTTCTCACAAACAAGCCAATACATAAGCCGAATGGAATCAGAACACCAAGAGAGAAAATTCTAATCCATCAATGGAAACCTTAACAGAAGCAAAACGAAGTCATATATATATACACATGAATATCACTGGTACCGATAGAAAATGAGCAGATAGATCCATTGAAATCGATTGCAACACGAACACAAATATACATCTACGTCTACCAAATAGATCGAAAGTACGCCTTCAAGAGAGCGAAATCTAAAACTCATATTTACGCGAATCCAAGCATAAAGAGAACGTGTTCCGATTGAGAAGGGAGACTCACTGAAGCCATTTTCGACGAGGTAGTTGAAGGTGTCACCGTCGCAATTGTATTCGAAGAAGAAAGCTTCTAGAGGCACTGCGAAGTGACGGAAGTGAAATTCCCTTTTGAATTTAGTATTCTCTGTGAGAATCACCAAATATTTTTAAAGCCCAATATTTCCTCAAATGATATGGAATTATGTATTTATGTGGATAATTGTCTATAGATTTCATTACAAGTAACAAATGCTAAAAAATTCAGTTTAGTAAAAATAATTTGAAAGCTCTTTTAGTTTTTTTTTTTCCTCTAATGGGATTATCAAGTTTTCCTTAGATATGTCTTTCAACTAAAAGAACACGAATTTAGATAGACACAAAATTAACTAATGTGCACACTAATCTATAGGGAAAATCACATTTTTAACCCTTAAAGTGTCGCTGGGTAGCACTTTAAACCTCGAGAGATTTCCACTAACACTATAAACCACAAAAATAAATTTACTAACACTTTAAACCTCCAAACTAGTTTTCATGTTTGCACCGCCATAAATTTATGTTAGAACAACTAATTTATGTTGGTTTAATATAAATTTATTTAATTTAATTTTAATTTTAATTAATTTTATTATTTATTATGATTTTTCGATTATTAAGAAACGTAAAAAAAAATTAGATATTTCCGATACGGAGAATGTTTTGTTTTCTCACAAAATTTTGACATTCTTTAGTTTTTATTATTCTATTCAAGGTTCTCTTATACCTCATATTCTACATTATTTGGTATATATTATTATACTATAAACTTCTCTTGTGCTTAAATCTAAAGTTTCAGAGGTTTAATTTCGAAATTTCATGATCGAACGGTGAGTAAACAAAGAAAGTAAAAAAAAAAATTAATGTTTTTTAAAGATTTTTATTAGTTGTAACAAATAATCAAATTAATGTAAATTTAAATTAAAGTTTTATATATTTTTATTAATTGTAATAAATAATAAAATTAATTTAAATTTAAATTAAATTAAATACATGTATAATAAACAAATAGAAATTAATTTTTCCATCATTTTTTTATGGTGGGACAAACAAAAAAACTAGTTTGGAGGTTTAAAGTGTTAGTAAAATTATTTTGGTGGTTTATAGTGCTTGTAAAATTCTTTCGAGGTTTAAAGTGTTATCCAGTAACACTTTGAAGGTTAAAAATGTATTTTTCCCCAAATCTATATATTTAGGTAAATAATTTTTTTTAAGGGATTTAAAAAGGCATCATCTATACTATTAATTGGGAAGGATTACCTGAAAAATAACCTTACAATCTGTAAATAATTACAAGAGAATGCCATTACAATTGGGTGGAGGGGTAAAATTGTAAAATTCTTGCTTTTGGGACGCGGATCCCGGATCAAGCAATCGGATCCTCTTTCCTAAAAATCACAGACCCGAACAGATGAAGCTTCCTGTTGGGCTTACGACATTTATTAGGCCCATACTGAAACCAATGCTTTAATGTATTGAATCTGCAGTAATTAATACGGAAGAAAAACATTAGCCACACAAATCAAACAATACCATAACTATTTTTCCGGATCAAATACACTACTCTGTATATTGCCTTAACAAACAAATCACATAATTTACACTTCCTAAAATAAAACGCATTTATTTATATTCCATATAATAACAAATCAAGCATATTCTTTACTTATTCTAAATCGGGAATAAGTTGGCAATTAATTTTTTGATTAATTGCACTCAAATCTCGCAAAAATCTTACCATATCAACTCAAACTATTAATGCCAATGTAAAAATATATAGTGTAGACGGTGAATTAAATGCAAAACTAATTAATCCATATCTCCCTATAATATATTGAAAGATACAGTATTGTAACTTATTAGATAATTATACTACTCTCTAACTTAATTTGACTAATAATTAGACACAAATCTCGCAAAGATCTTTCCATATCAATACAAACTATCAATGCCAATTTAAAAATATCTCTTTAAATGCAAAACTCAATTATTTGTATTTCTTTATATTGAAAGATATATAATTCTAACTAATTGTATTTCCATTATTAGTTGGTATTAAAAATCACACAATCTCTTCAATA